ACACTTTCAAAGTCGATAAAATTTTAAAGTGGACGAAAAAGTGAAACATCATCAAACGACGTTCTAAGTAAGAATAAAATTAAAATTTAAGAAAAACAACATGTTTACACATAAAAACACTTTGAAAGTCGAAAAAATTTTAAAGTGGACGAAAAAGTGAAACATCATCAAACGACGTTCTAAGTAAGAATAAACTTAAAATTTAAGAAAAACAACATGTTTTCACGTAAAGACACTTTCAAAGTCGACGAAAAAGTGAAACATCATTAAACTACGTTCTAAGTAAGAAAAAACTTAAAATTTTAGAAAATCAAGATGTTTTCACGTAAAGACACTTTCAAAGTCGAAAAAATGTTAAAGTGGACGAAAAAGTGAAACATCATTTAACAAAGATCTAAATGAAAAACAACTTAAAATTTAAGAAAAACAACATGTTTACACATAAATAGACTTTTAATAGTATTAATAGTATAAATAGTTTTTTGCATTTAATTTATTCGAAATATTGATGATATATTCTTTAAACATCTATTACGTGTATATATTGTATGTTAATGTATTCATTCAAAATATCATTAACATTGATTGTTTTGTTATTTTTTATGATTTTATTATTGTACCCTATTGTTTTAAAATAATTTTACATTTGAGTAATTTAAAACTTGTATTTTATTAGATTTAAAAAAATCTGTATTTTATAAAAAAAATACTATTATATAATAAGAATGTATATTTTAAATAATTGTCTATAAATAACAGTATAGGACACATGTATAATAAAATTGTCAGTATTACATAATTGTTGTTTCGATGTGAAATTGAGAAGTCATTAATTTTACTATGTGGTTTTTTTTTTTTTTTTTTGCCACTTTTTCTTAGCTCTTATCAGAGCGATTTTCTTCAACGATACGTCAAAATATCATAAATCTTATCTAATTGAAAATATTGCCTTCTGAAATTGAAAGAAATTCTTTCGTCCCATTTAGCCGGATGAAACACCAAAAAAAAAAGTTTTGATTTTTAAAATAGGAAAATGCTGACTGTTTGTTTTTTTACAACTGCCATAATTTTTGAACTTTAATTTTTCTTTTTTTGTTGTGTTTTGATATAATTCGAATTGTGTTTGATAGATATTTTTTTATAAGTATTTATGAGATATTTACTTGTTGATTTTGTTGAATTATGGTGTATAAATGAAGAATGGAGAAGGTAAGTGTAATTAATTAAAAAAAAAAAACATAATACAAACAAATTGGCTCTGTCGTTATAATTTGACAATTGCGAAGTTTTCAATTCTAATCGCTGTTTCTATTGGTTTTGTCGTAGCATTTTATTTTATTCGATCTTTTTTTTTTTTATTTAGGTTTTAAGTAATGTCGGTCTAAATGACAAGGAAGAATGTAATAATGATGTAAAACAAAAAATGGAAAAGCTCGAAAAGAAAATCGATGCAATGCAGGCCGAAATTAATCATTTAAAATTTGTATTTTGGAAAATGATTAACCGCAAACCTATACAACAAAACAAACCAGAAGATTCTAATGAAAATTCTTTAAGGTCGTCCATTGTTAATGATAAAGTAAGTTTATACGTATTAAATTTTAAAGAAAATGAAATTTTTATGTTAAAAATAGATATAAAAAGGAAATATTATCAAGTTATTTAAAATGTCCAATTAATTATATTTGTGTTGTTGTTAAATATATACTGGGAACTAGACTGAGATAATCAAATGAATGTAGATTTTATTAAAAACTCATTTATTTATATTTTTGTTTAACAGAGTGTCCAATCGAATCCATTAAAAACAAATAACGTTGATTCCGAATCAGATCGGCCATCTCCTGTAGCAAAGTTAGAAGTAAGTTATTGTTATTAAGTGTTTACGTCATAAATTAACTATTCGTAGGAGTTACTGAACTAAAGATATATTATTGTTTGATTGACTTTAGATGAACTATTAAAATAGACGATTTGTAATAAGGAATGAAAATCGTTTTAAGACATTAATTGTCAATGCCTGGGAATTTTTATTTTGTGTTTTCAAAGCTGAACTCCCGTGTTCATCTTGATAGTGTCCCAGCTTCGATGAAATTTCCAGGAGAATCGTTTAATTATGGGGGCATAAAAGAAA